GAGGTTTGGGTAATATTGGAAAGAAAATCAACCATGGTGGTGGTGATGGAGGTGATGATGATGGTGATGGTGATGGTGATGGCGATGAATACTTTGATGATTTTGATGATGGTGGTGAGGGAGATGAGAATGGACTTTGCCAGAGGCGGATGCTTCTTGAAGAGGTTGGAGCCCTTATAGGCCCAATTAGACTTACTAAAGACTTGTTGATCAAATAATTCTCCCTTTTAAATAAATAAATCTCTCCTGCTCAAATGTTTTTAACTTAAATTCCTAGATGTCACTAATTTACTTAATTTCTGCGAGCTCTTTGATCGAAAATTCTTAGAAGCGGTGTTGAATGAATGGCAGAAGACAATGATGGATATACCTGGGCAAAGGACCGGTCCCTTGCGGGCCCAGGCCTGGGCCCGGGACCTGTCCCAGGCCCATGAGAAAAATCAGGACCCAGACCAGGCCTTAGGCCTGGTCGGGACTGGTCCCATGGGGTTTGGAAAATTTTATTTTCCCCCCTCAATTTTTTTTTATATTTTGGGGCAAAACGAAATTTTATAGGGGGGTTTTAGTATTTTTTAGGGGTTGATTAGTAAGTTTCTAAAAATTTAATTAATTTTAAAAAATAATAAATTAATAGTTAATTTTAATTTTTAACNAAGAGGTTAAATATCTTCCCTCTCTATATAGTTTTGCGGGAAAATTATCTCGCGAGGATAGTAAGTTTTCTCGGTATCCAAACACCGAATCATGTCTCACATAATGTTCCCTACTAGCGCCAAAACCTTATCGTCGTTAACGCCGCCGAGTTTGCCGATTCCTCGGCTCGGTCCGAGTCAACCGGGGAGCCAGCCGACTTCCGTCAAGCTTCGGAGGAGGAATTTAAATGTAACGTGTTCGGCGTCGGTTGTTGATGGCGGAGAGAGTTCTGTGGCTGGCTTGGAGAGGTGTTATACTGCGCCGAGTGCTTTGGCGTCAAGTTCAAGTGTTGAATTCGGTCCGGTTATGAAGGGAGGACAGTACGGTGCGTTCGGTGCGGTTACGTTAGAGAAAGGGAAGCTCGACTTGACGCAGAAACAATCGCAGTCTAGCCCTGAGGTCAGTTGTGAAATTGAAATTCAGTTTGGCTGATAACCAAACCTGGACCTCACTAAATTTCTTATTTTTACGGGTTAAATTTGTTTGTTTTAAACTCTTAATTACTTATTGTTGATTGAAGTATGTTAATTTCATAGGAAGTGTTGTGTTAGGGTTCATAGGAAGTGTTGTGTTAGGGTAATTTGATTAATCGAATTGGGATAATTTCATTGACCATGCAGAGGTTTCCATTGATTTACTTTTTTACGTCTAAAGTTTCCCGTAGGAAGTTTACTTCAGATTTTTCAGTGGTTTTCTTTCTGTGATAGAGAGAAATTTCAAGGCAGGTTAATGAAATTAAACTTATATATTCTGGATTTTAAATCTAGGGATATGTTTCTTGTGAGGATTTGTTAAAGTTGAAGATATTTTGTAAGGATGGTTTTTCTATAATTTAGGGAAAGTGCACTCAAACAACACCGACACAAGTATTACCAACCATTAATATTGTGGATTAGGTTTTGTGAGCAGTAATAACTTCATTGAAAATATAACTTTAAAAAGGCTTTTCTTGGAGGTTTACATGGTGGATGTGCACACGGAAGTTTATATTGAAGCCATGTTTTAAATGTAAAAGCATTTTAGGAATTTATAGACCTCCACATTGCCTTAAAATTATCTCATTTATAATGACCTAGGACTAATGCATATTATAATTCTTTGTTAGAATTCTGTTTGAAACTTCAACCTCTTTTTTTTTTTTTTTTTTTTTTGGGGGTGTTGTTGTTGGGGGGTTTTAAAAGTTCACAGTTGTTATGTTGTTCATGATGTGTATCTTCTAATATTTGTTTGAAAGTTTGTGTAGCTATATTTTAGTTGCCGCTTCAGGGTACTTAATCTATAGAGTATTGATATCAAAATTGTTAGGAAAACCCTCTGCTAGTAGGGGAATGGTTTTAAGTGTTGATTAGAAGCGTATGATTAGGTAAACTTGTATGCTGAATGGCTTATAGACAAGTAATAGAGTGGAATAGATGGGATTGAAGTTATGCCTAAAAGTACTATTCCTGGGGCTGTTGTTGGCTTTGTGAGGTACCTGAGAAGAATGACAGTGTTGTGTAAGGAATATGGGTCATTTGGGTCAATCAGCAATNAATAATATAAATAAATTATAAATATAAATTGAATGAGAAATTGATTGGAGATTTGGAGTAGAGAGATTGAGAGAATGAAAGAATGAGAGATTGAGAGATTGGTGTGAAAAAAATTAAAGGTTTTAGGGTTATTTATAGTGTAGTTGTGGGGGGGAAAATAAAAAAAAAAAAAACTTATATTATATAAATAATAAATGTAACCATTGGTCAGTTACTGTTGGCTGCCAACAGTTAATTTTTTTTTTTAATAAATTTTGTAAAATTTTATGTTAGTCCTTAAATTTATACTTATTTTAGGGGGTTTAATGTAATTTTACAAAGGATTAAATTGATAAAAGACAAAAAAAAGTTTGGGCCCAGGCCTGGGACCGGGCCCTCCTCCTTAGGCCTGGTCCCGTTTTGGGACCAGGCCTCCTAGGACTGATCCTCCCAAGGACCGGTTTTTGGAGCTAGGCTTTTGGGCCCCGTCCCAAATGCCCAGCTCTAATGATGGATCTACCTGCTGGTTTCCGACAAGCTTATGAAATGGTGTAGTCTCTTTCCGATCATTTAATTATTTGTCTGTTGGCTCTTATGGCTAGACACTTTCTTTAACATTGCTTCTAGGGATTAGTCAGCTCCGCTCAATTGGTAAACTTCCTAGCAATGCTGGACCAACCACTACCAGATTTATTTCAAGAGCGCTTCCTGAAGGAATTTCTAGGTCATTTATTGGCAGGTAATGTCTCAGTTTGCCCTAGAATTATTTGGAATAGTTTCCTAGAGCTATTTATTTATAATTTTCTGTATTTTCTTCGGGATTGCATTACGACTTACGTCTTGAACATCTTTGTGAATTTTCTGCTTCACATTATTTTCTTTTTAATCAACCAAGTTATTCATGTGAAGTATCTATTAAATTGTTCCTTATCTCTCCCCATCCCTCTCTCTCTTTCCTTTTGGTTTTTAGATAATCTAAGATGCGTTTTGAATCAATGATAAGACTGAATAGTTTGAAGTTCGAACAATTAAAACTTGGTCTAGGAACAGAATTAATTTGTTTTACTTTTTGACAAAACTTGGAAAATTATTTCTTTCATTCTATTCTTGTAATCTGAATTAAAGTTTCAATTAGTCTTTTGTTTAGTCAAGAACAGTGAACTTTGCTATGTCCTAAGAACACTTGTTTCTTCGATAATACATTTGTACTCTGGTGTGGATTTTGCTGTCCTGAATTGTGATCTTTCTTATGCAAAATGTAAAATATTTATAACATAGGTTTATGTGTATGTGTATCCTTTCCAGTTCAGTAATGAGATTTAAATTAAATGTATATTTATGGTTTCTCATCAGATTTCTTATGTAATACTTATTGTTGCCACAGGATGATTGCAGATCCTACCTTTTTATATAAGCTTCTTTTAGAGCAGGCTGCTACTATTGGTTGCACTGCTTGGTGGGAGTTCAAGAATCGTAAGGAGAGGTATTCTTTTGTTTCTCTTGTAACACTATCCCGTTTGCTTGTGTGCTTCCGTTTTATATGTAATTGAACCTATAAATGTTTTTTTTTTTTTTTTTTTTTTTTTTTTGATATTGCAGGATAAATCAAGAATGGGATCTTGCCCTTATTAATGTGCTTGCAGGATCGGCATGCAATGCTTTGTTGTTTGGTCACGTGCCCCTTGTCGTTCTCACAGAAACAATTCCGGTTTGATTTGCAAAATACATTGCAGAAGCTCCCAAACAATATATTTGAAAAGAGTTACCCACTTAGAGAATTTGACTTGCAAAAGAGAATCCACTTCCTTTTCTTTAAGGCTGCAGAGTTGTGTATTAACTGCTGGAGCAGTGCAAGGTTCTTTGTCAAATGTTTTGGCTGGTAAAAAGAAGGAAAGGCAATCAACGTTGAAAGTAATTTTTTCTTTTTCTTTTGTTGCAGTGTTCACATTTTTGTAAAACAATGAAAAGTTAGAAGTTGTTTCTTTACCGTTTATGTCAGTCAGATTTTTATTTAAGTTTGGGCATCCTTCGAATTCTTTGACAGGTTATCCGTGACAATCGCAGCTGTGAGTATTAATGCGCTTGGTTATGGTGCTTTCCTTGGACCTTATGCAAACTTGAGATATCAGCTGTTATGCGGATTTGATAGAGCAGTGATCAACCATTTTGATGTTATTGGAGTCACGCTGTTCTTGAGCACAGCTTTGAGGTCTCTCTCTCTCTCTCTAACTGATCATCAATATTTGCATGTCTATAGTAATAAATATAGATAAAATTTTCTTGACATTCCAAATTTCTCTTATATTAGATTTGTATATACAACACTGTGTTTGGGAAATGATTCATTTTTTTATTCTTTGGACATGATATTAATGGGTTTTGTATGAAACTATGTCGATCTATCTTCTTAGCTAAGGTTTTAAGTATTAAACTCCCTTCTAGGTATCTTAAGATTTGTAGACTTGAATTAGTCCTCATCAAATTTCTGACCCCTTTGGTAATTAAAGGACACAGTATGTAGTTAGATTTTTTCTTGGTTACCGTTATTAATGCTAAATTGTTTACAAAATGATGCGAAATCCCAACTTGGTTTGGAATCGCTTGAGTAGTGGAATTGATTGATGAAACACCTGCTGTGGTCTATATTAGGAGACGTAGGAGGGGACAACAGGGGAATATCGGTAATGCAGCAAAAAGAGTGCTAAGCAAGTGAGCGGGACAGATGGCAGCATGAGGGTGATTAGTGGGTGAATTATATTATACAGTATGGGACTGAATTGCATAAAAGGGGGGAGAGAGAATTAGAGAGGATATTTTCTTAAAAAGTGGAAAAGTGTCATTTGGGAGGTAGCAAGCTATGTTTTCCTTGGTATTTTCATTTTTCCTTTACTGTTTTGCTTTCTAATTTTCCGTTGAATCGAAGTTATGTTGATTGGGTTACTTACATGAAATCAATACTAATATCTTCGTATTTATTCATCTCTTTTCTGATTGTGTGAGAATTATTTGTGTGTTGGTTGAATTTGCTAGGGTAGATAGATACTCTGAATTGCTTGATTGTTGGGTTTGAGCTTGGTATCTATCAAATTGATTTCACTATTTAGTAGGCTTTGACAAACCCAGTTTTAGGCTGCTGTAACAGGCGAATTGGATATCTTATTTACCAGCTACTTCTGTTGATCTTTTCGTTGTCTAACTTCTCATCGGTTCCAAGCAGGATTTTAAAACGTTCAATTAGGAGAAAGATCAAGGCTTGCTTGGCTAGGTGTAGAGCAGATCCACTAGTTCAATCAGATGAGCTTTTGAAGGCTGCTTGCAACAGACCATCTGAGGATGCCGCTAGGTCATCATCAAAATGGTTTATACTTAATATCCAAGAATGCCATCATTTCTGGGGTCGGTCTCCTCGGCATCAAACAAGGAAATGTTGATGGTGGGGAAGCATGGGCTCAAAGGAAGAAGGTGTGTGCAACTCCAGCATAAATTTGCTGGTATGTTCAGCAGAGTCCAATTTTGCCACTGGACAGCGAGACAAGGCGTAAGTCCTCGAGAAACCTTGATAAGTAAAGAACAATTGGGAGATGGGGGTCCTGGCAATTATAGGTATCTTGTAGAGGAATTAACAAATCGCAGTAGTTTTTTTTATTACTGTAACATGGAGATTAATTTTGGTGAAGAGTTATCAAATTCTTTCACTTTGTTTTGTTTTTGGATGTCAAAATTCTATGTGACAACGTACTATATTCCAATTTTTATCTTGAATTTATTCTAATAAAAGTTTCAGTTTATATCTGAGCTAAAAATGCACTGTGTAAAGAGTTATTGGATTGGTATTAGTAATTATTATTATTTGACTAATTCATATAATGTTCAATGGTTAGAAACTTGTGATCTTGTTATTTAAAAAAAAAAAAATTTAACGATGTTTCTCTTAAGAATTTGTGAAAATTTGTAAAAAAAAATAAAATAAAATTCTGTTTTTTGAAAATATTGAAAATGAATACGACAAATGAAAACACAATCCATGTTTCTTTGAAAATAATATTTAAAAAATGTGAAAACATTTGGTATGATTGTTTGAAAACACAAAGATTAAAATGAAAAATACAAATTTTTTTATTTTTGATAAAATCTTTTCAAATTACCACTTATGTTGTTTATCTTGATCTATGTTTTAAATATAACAATTTTTTATTCTTATTTTTAATTTCATGATAAAAATAAGTGTTTCTTTTACGAGAGACGAGAGAACAAAAGAAAAAAAAGAGAATTTTTTTAATTATTATTATTATTTATTTTTTTATTTTTTTTATTTTTATATGTTTTTGCTCTTACATTCTCTTGTTTTATTGAAAATAAAATTAAAAAAAATCATATAGAAACGTTTATCATACATTTTACAAAAAAATTAAAAAAATTGGAAATGAGTTTGTAACCAGACATGGCCTGAGTTACAATTAATATTACTTTCCAGGCCGAACAACTTATACCTACCCAAGGTTTAGCGAACTAATGATTGGTACTCAAAAGGTTTCAAAACGACAAATATGTACCTTTCATTAGTGAAAAGACTAGAATGCCCTTTGAGAAATATTAGTCTATTTTTTAATTACTTTTAGACCCCTTAAGTTTATTAATTCCATCAAATACCCCCAGAAAAAAGTTTAAAAATTAACAAAAATACCCCCACCCACCCATACTTGCCAGATTCCGGCGGCCACTGCCAGTGGTAGCCAGAATTTATCACAACGGTCTATGCCACCACCGGAAATGGCCGTTAATTCACGAATATGGCCGAAAAAGGCCAGATCTGACGTGAAGAGGCCAGATCTGGCCGGAAACTGACGGCCAAAGAAATGGCCGCCGTTGACTGTCAACGATTTATTAGCAATTCTAAGTGGTGGCGTATACCGTTGTGACAGATTCTGGCTACCACCGGCTGTGGCTGTAATGCCCTACTTGAGGTACATACATACTTAAGATTTGCTGTATTACTTAAATGTTTATTGAGTCAGCTTTAATTGAGTTTGTATGTTGAGTTGATTGAGTGTTTGCCTTGAAATTGGTTGAGTTTTGAGGAATCTTAGAATTTCAGTCTTTGTCGAGGCGAAGAATAGTCTTCGCCGCGGCGACGTTGGCTTTGAGTAAGGCGGTGTCGACTCTGTAACTTTTAAACGGGGCGACAGAAGTTTCTTCGCTGCGGCGACGGGCCAGTTGAAAAGTTTAATGAGGTTTCTAGATATTTCTCCATAGGGGTAAAATGACCATTCTACCCCTAATTAGCAGGAAAAGTGGGGAGTGAAATGTAAGAAAATTTCATGGAGAATAGGTTAGTGCGAGGGTGTGAGTATAATGAATCAAAGGATATAGATGGAAATTCTAAGGAAGAGCAAGGGCAAAATGGGAAAGGATGGTTATAATATGAGCTAAAAAAGGGTTAAGTGTAATAAACCCTTCATTTCACCTATTTCCACCGCCATACCCATTCTCTACTTCCATTCAATTCTCCATCAATTTTCCAAGATTTCTAAGGAGTTTTAGGGAGTTTTGGGGTAATTTTAGTAGAGCTTGAATCTAAAGCATCCTAAGGTAAGGATTCTTGCTTTAGATGTGAGTTTGTTTATAGTTGTATTGAAGTCTTATATTATAATTGTTGTTTAAAGTTGTAGAGAGAAGACAAGACAACAAAGGAAAGGAGAAGTGTTAGAGAAGTCGCTTATTCACAAAGTAAGTAAATCCTACCCAAGTTGAGATTGAGATGTATGTATGAATGAATGAATGATTGTATATGTATTATATTTGTTGAGATAAGATGAGATGAGATTATAGTTATTGATGAGTATGGAATGTATTGGAATATGAGAAGTGTTGAGATTTTATGGTGTTGAGTTGAGTTTTGAGTGAAGTTGAAGGGAGTTTGAGTAAACCCTATAGAAGTGTTTCTTTCATTGACAGGAATTTAGAGTTTATGAGAGAGTTTTCTCCCATATTGGGAAGGTTCAAGAGAAGAGAAGAGTTATTGTTACAATAGAGTTTTATATGCACATGAGTTGTATGATAAAATGCTTGAGTAAGGCATGACTAAGAGTAGAGAACCTTAATTATTGCTACATGGCATAATTGCATTTCATGAGTGCATTAATGAGCATGAGTCATCCATATGCATTAATTGCATTAGCGAAAGAGAGTAGAGAAATAGTAGAGAATTTGAGTATAAACTACTTTAAGAGTAAAGAGAAAGAGAGAATGAGCACTAAAGAACAAAGAGAAAGTAGTGCTAAATGAAAGGTTTGAGTAAGTTGTGCGATGGGGAACCTGTGAGTAATGGGTAGAGTATTCCCGCATGTACGCCGCATTGAGAAAGCGGCATGAGTATGAGAGAGAGAAGTGGTGTAGCCCGTGAGAGTGCATGTGGATGAGGGCTATACCTGAGAGTACCCGAGAGAGAGAGATTATCTACTCACATGGCCAAGGGTTCCGAATCCATGCATAACCGAGTCCGATCGACTAGAATGAGTAGAAGTCATGTAGAGCGGGAGCGAGTCTCGGCCGTGCCTCCGGTAAGATGAGGCCGTGACTTGGGTTATGAGAAAGAGAAAATAGAGAGAAGTATAAGAGAAAGAGTAAATGAGCATTGTAAGGAAAGAATTAGAGAGAGAGTTACGGGGTTAGATGAATAGAGGATTTGCTTACTAAGCATTAATTTAGTGCTCACCCCGTTGTTTTCTATGTTTTGCAGGATCTAGGTGAGGACACGGTCAGATGGGCGTCGGCAAGCGAAGGGAAATGGCTACACTGTCCACCTTGTTTTTAATAGTTTTTGTACATGATACGAACTTTGTATAAAGAATGTATATGTTTAATGAAAGAAAAATTTGGGCCCAACTTTTTATGCTATTTTACATGTATTTTTACTATGTATATTTTAAAAGAATATGAGTAGAATGGAGTCGTTACAGTGGCCGTCGGAATCTGGCAAGTATGGGTGGGTGGGGGTGTTTTTGTTAATTTTTAAACTTTTTCTGGGGGTATTTGATGGAATTAATAAACTTAAGGGGTCTAAAATAATTAAAAAATAGACTGATATTTCTCAAAGGGCATTATGGTCTTTTCACTAACGGAAGGTACCTGTTTGTCATTTTGAAACCTTTTGGGTACCAATCGCGTTTTGCCAAACCTTGGATAGGTGTAAGTCGTTTCCCCTACTTTCCACCTTGTCACTTAAAACAGTTTGACTGAGATACAGTAAGCTGCTTTATTTAAAACAGGATTTGATAAAATAAACAAATATTTTATTGCTTCACTTGAACAACTGAAGTCTGAACTTTTATAAATCATAATGCAAAATATTTGTTGACCTAAATACATTGTGTTTAATGGATGATAAAATAACAAATTCTAATTCTTTTGGATTTCAATAAATTTAAGTCTTTAGATCATAGTTAAGGGATTATAGTCAACTTTTAGACTCCGTGTCTTAAAAAAAAATCATCCAAGCAGGGTTGATCTTAAATAACTAAACTTTAGACTTTAGAGGGGTTAAAAAATAACCACATCTTCGAATCTTAAATTATATTAACATATGGGTGTTGTCTTCTCTGCTATAATTTATGAACTTTCCAACACTTTGCAGTACATATACATCAACCCATTGTAGGGTTTCAATCTAGGAGTGAACCCACTCCCTTTCATGAAGCTCAAGATCTCATCTGTTTCGGTAACCATCTGCCTCCTGCCATAAATCAAAATCATGGCAGTTAGAGTGGTTATTCAGGGGAAAATCCTTTTTTCTTCAACTCTAAGAAGGCACGCTCTGTTGCTATAAGGAGGTCACTTCTACTATTAACGAAAATAAGGGTCTTCAAGAGCACAGCATGAGGTTCAATCAGACCAGAGAATAACTCTTCTGCAAGAGTAAGCATCCGCTTAATTTCCTTGCCATTGGCATAAGCATGAAGCAATGAGCAGTATGTAAGCTCATTGGGTTTCCAACAACCATCCTTCATTTCAGCAACTATTTTCTGACACTGTTCCCACATCCCTCTCCGAGCCAAAGCTGCCAAAATAGTGTTGTAGGTGGAAAGATCCAGTGTAACTCCAGCTTCCAGCATTCTCTTATAAACAGCCATGGCTTGGTCAAAGAACCACCACAATTGTATGCATTAATTAGGGTGTTGAAAGTGTCCCTCTCAGCAATGAACCCTGCCCTCTTCATCTCCTTTAACAAACCTAACACTTCCGAGTCCATGCCATTCTGCCCAATTAACGCTAGAAGTGTGTTCCAAGTAACAATGTCCGGGTTACAATTGCATCTCTTGATCTCATAAAAAACCTTCATCATCTCCACAAACTTTCCCTTGTTTCCTTGCATCTTAATCAAAACATTAAGAGAACAAATATCTGGCTTGCACCCTGCACTTCTTATCTCCTCAAAAACCTTCAGTGTGGACTCATACTTACTGGCTTTCTCAAACCCCAATAAGAGGTTGGTGCAAGTAAAAACATCAGGCTTAATCCCTATTTCCACCATCTGGTTTTTAAGCTCCATCGCCTCTTCCAACAAACCAACTCTAGCATAAGCTGATATCAATGAATTGTAAGTCACACTACTGGGTGAACAACCATTAACCTCCATCTCCCTTAATAACTCCATGGCTTCTTTGGGCCACCCAGACTTCCCATAAACATCCAACAAGGCATTATAAGTAACCTTATCTGGACTAAAACCTCCTAATTTCATTTCCTCAAAAACCTAAGCTGCTTTTTCATGCAAAGAACCCCGCCGGCA